TCTCAGAAAACCTGCGAAAAGCCAGTCAAAATTGAAGCGTTTACAGTGGTTTCAACGTCTGGCAGTACAGAGTATTTATACGATTGCCGTACTTACAGAATATAGGTGCTCCAGCAGATGCCTGGAGCGTAGGAGCCAATATCGTAATGGTCTAGCAATAGAAAGGTATTTTGAAGTAGGGTAAAGAGTGAGCGGAAAAACAATTTTGAGGAATTAGTAAAATAGTAAAATTATATTAATAAAATTATTATAATAGTAAGAAATGTTTCGGTCCATTAAGTCTTATACGTTTCATGTCCAGGCATAAAAATGAATGGCACACCCGGTCCACTTTTGTTTGGACAAAAGGGGTTTCGTTCTCCTGCCAGTGCCTTTGATCCTAAACTATATGCGTCTGGTAAATACTTTGAGTCGGTGCTATATGCTACCCTTTTGGAGGCTAACCCAAACGGTCAGGGTACCAGACAGGTAATTTTTTTTTTTTTTTTTTTTCAAGTTATTCATACGACCAAATAATTTCAGTGATACAATTATGCGTGAATTCACGGCGCTGCTGAACCAGGTGAATAATTCATTCGATCATTTTCGGGCCGAATTATCCGCACTGATTTTTCCAGTTTTCGCGCATCTTTATATCCAGCTTATTGCAGATGGACATACCCTACAGGGTCAGTTTTCATCCAACTCTGTGCATCTTAGTCTAATCAGAAAATTCTTTCGGCCAGCCGTTGTTTTTTGTCGTTTTACTATTTATCAGCTTGTAATCTAGCAGTTTATTTCTCCCGTTGGATTGTAAATGGAAAGGTATATTAACAACGATTGAAATAAGAAGAATCAAAAAGAATTACGAAATTAGTGAAATCATTATAATTTTGATCAGTATAATCCTAAAATCAGTAAAATCCATCAGAATTCTTAGCAGCAATTGTCGAAGATATCAGTACTCTTTGCCAGAGGGTAGTGATATGGTTGACAGGTGTAATCGCTTCCGAGTGCCACCGATTCATATAAAAATTGAATACGGGAGGAGTTTTAACTTATTGATTTTAAATTTCAATGAATTTTTCAAATTTCAATGATTACTTGCTGTAGTGTCAGGCACAGATATACCCTTGTAACATTTTTCTTCCCGAATTTTCATGTCATTTCCCCGACAGCTTGGATTTTTGCTTTTTTTTGTTCAGAGTTTACACATTTTCAGCAGCAGCATTTAGCGAGAAATTTGCACGGCATGTTCCGTCGATGTACGAGGAGCCAGTGAAATCACTCACACGTATCACAACGCATAGCCAAGCTGCTAACCATCATCTTGTTCAGGCATTAACGTAAAATTTTCCAAATTTACTTCAGAATGAGTTATTTGCTCGTATTTTTTTGAATTGATCACCAAGCTCCCGTAAATTTTTATCTACTGAACTCTGAATTTTCTCAAAATATTTTGAGTTAAATGTCTACCTACGTTAATTATCCACTTTTCACATTTAGTTACTTTGTCAGCATGTTGCGGAAGTCCCGTGAAAAACC